CTGTTTTCAAGTCTTGTGATTTCAGCTGCCGTTCAAAAGGTCGTTTGGATTGTGGCCAAACGCTTGAAAAAATGTACCAAAAGACTATTTGAACATTTTTTGTTTTGATGGCCCCTAGTTTTCGCATTAGTCAGAGTATTTCCTAATCCAGAAATCCATTTGCAGCGGATACGGGGTAAAAACGGAAAAAAGAGGGGAACCGGCAGTTTTCTTGGCACGCATAAAGGTGATACGCAAAGATATTTATTATATGTCTTTCGTTGAACTAGAAACATCGCGAAAGTAAGGAAAGTAGTTTTGCTCGGTGAATAGCTTGAACTTATCGTCAGATCATGCGGGCGGAGCTTTGAACATCACCATAGAGGATACTTGCGCCCGCGCATTTCTTTCATTATCTACAAAATCAACAGAAGTTTTGGTTTAGGCTGACGGGATGAGTTTCCGACTTGTGACAGCCTTGTCTAACTTCTTTAGGTGGATTGCTTAGTTTGTCTATTGACCTTGCTTTGGACCCACGCGGAAGTTCATGTTTTGGCTGACGTTGAACGGAAGCATTATGATTAAATACTTCATTGTTCATTTCGAAAGTCTCGTGAATTTGTTTTGTTTAGTGTGACAACAAAAAAAGTTCAATCTCCCAAGGACAGCTGGCTGGCATGCCCTCCTATATCTGTCAGTAGTGATTATTAAAGCTTTTTCTTTATAGGTTACTTAGGAGAGTAGAGAGAAGAGAGAGGGAAGCAGACTAGGAGAATGAAGACATTGTGCAGAAGAGTAGAGTCAAACTTTTGTAGTTAAAAAGAAGTATTCTGTGAGAATCAGAATTTAAGAGCCTTAGAGATTAACAACAGTTTCACAGAATGAAAAAGGCTTTAATGTTGGTAGAATTGTGTATTGGATCCAGAGAACCGAGTAATGAAAGAAAAAAGTGCAAAAGGCATTTCTAGGGTATTGGTACCTTTCGCCGAGCATGGTGTGCTCGTTAGCTAGTTCCTTCCTCACAAATTATTGTAATGGCATACTTCAAACGAAATAGTTTGGTAGTATTGATATGTATAGAAATAAGCGATTATGAATTTCGAACCTGTTAAGAAGATAGTACAGGACTGACTTGTCGTGCGATTAGCGCGCGTGCGTTGAGACATTTAAATTTGACCAGTTCATCAGCAAGTCACGCGCACGATTTCTCGCTTATGTAGTTTGCAGTTTTAGTCGCATTTTGGAAGGTTTTGCTTTTGAGTTTGTATTTTAAGCCGTTACCGTTTTATCGTCTTTTTACCAATTAAACGTGCCTGCTTTTAAAGGAAATTTTCGTCATCGCTTCCGAACAGAACCCACATCATAAAAAAAAGGCTGTGGATATAAAACGTGGTGGAAACAGCACAAATGCATTATCATCTTTTATCTCATATGTAGTCAGTTCCAACCAAAGGCGCTCACAGAGTTGCCGAATTAGGTTATTTGAGATCATTCTTAGGGAAAAGAATACAACTGACCCATAGAGCTTAGGGAGATGCCAACGTAAAGACCGAATCCACTGCTGGAACATAACAGTGACTTTCTCGGAAAGCGACGCCGGTGATATCTTTGGAAAGATCAAAGTTAATGCTCAGAGTTTGTTCGATGCCTCTAAAGAACGGCAACAAGGTAAGTTTCTAAAACTTGTGCAAGAGAATCGGACATCCGTCTCACCAACTAATGTTGACATAACATCTCGCGTTGACAGAAATAAATAGGTTAAAGTCAAGGTTGTATTAAGGTGTTCCTCGGTATTGCACTGCATATATGTGGACTCTGTCGTAATTACAGGGTGATTTAGCAAATGCAACTGCGTTGAAGACGTAAATTGGTCACCATGAAGAATTTAAAAGCTGATTTTTCGAGCGCAAGCCCTTCGTCAGAGCGATTTGAGGAATTATGGGTT